ATCCCCTCCACACCTCGAACATACGACAATCATTTTTTATTTCAAGTGTCAAAATTGACAGTGACTTAGAAAATTGAATAAATAAAAAAATTATTTAAAAATATATCAATGCTTAACGTTCAAATCTGTGCTCCTCCCTCAGCAGTAGTTTTATTATTACTGTCACTATCGTCATGGTTATGCATCTGCAAGTGGGGATTTTGTTACAACATGCGAGACAGTGAAGTATAATTAATTTTTATATCAAATATTCAAGTTGAAGTGATAGTCTTCCATAAAAAAATCCCAATTAAAGCCCCCAAGAAAAAAAATAAGAATTGACCTGAAATTTATAAGTGAAGAATTTCTTTCAAACATTTTGTGCTCATAAATTAATTATAGAAACTGTTTTAAACCCTCTGAAAAATTATCTTTGCATCACATTATGGGTAAATTAAAATTTGAAGAATGAATTCTCAACTCAATACCGAAGTCGTGAAAAAAAATACGTCAACTCGTCTTCTCAATGATTTTTCCGGAAATATCTCCGAAAATTAGCAAGATAGCGAAATTTTTGTGATCACCTTTTTTGTAGCCCTGCATTATTATTATGAAAAAGGTTCTGATAAGAATCTCAGCATCTTCTTTAGTTCCGGAGATAATTGTGAAAAACTCAGTGCTGAAGTAGAACTTATTCTTTTATTTTTTCAGGTAGTTTATTCGCTAGTAATGTACCACATGATCATAACAATTCTAAACCTGATATTCCTGGGGCACTTCAAGATGTATAACCATTGCATAAGTGACTGATAATTGCAAATAAATGGGTAGGAAGACCGCGATAATTATCAAAACTATTTGAACGTGATAATTCTTTGCTATTGAATTTGATGGGTCTCCACCAGATGCCCCAGCAGAGCTCCATCGATATTTGGAAACTATCCAACTCCTATCTACGATCAATCCGGCGAAATATTTCCAGCTATTTGCAATTCCCTGGACTTAACATAACATCATGATGAACACCTTGAGACTAGTAGCACGAAGAAATCTCCAGCACATTCGGAGCTTCAACAAGAGGTGAGTCAACGATTTATCTCGCGAGAAACATTCAGAAACACATGATCCTCAACATAACCTCTCACTACCTCATGAACTTGATCATACAATTCAAAGAAAAAATTTCTTCAACCAAAAACATCGAAATACAACCACGAAAGTCAACGCTGAAAAAAAATCTCAGGAGGATAAAAATTTGGTTATCCCTTTTTTGAAGTCTACAAATTCAAAAATATTTGAAATACCTATCTCGAGTTCTTACAAAAATGTAGAATCAATATTTGAGGAAGTAGGAACAATGTAAATATGAATGATTAAGATACCACAACTGATAGTGCAAATAAATTATTTATATTTGCGGACTTGAAGTAAATAAATCATTTAAAAATCCAGAACATGATGTACTTGTCCCCAGAGAAAAATATGTCGACAATTAGTCATAGGCTTGAAGCTGGTCGTTTTTTCTTCGCGAGAGAAAAATTATTTTTTCGTCAATGTGGTGATTAAAAAGTAATCACGACTATTTTAGTGCTGTCTACGGCCAGACAGCTGAAGCAGCAGTTGCTCCAGCTGAGAAACTCACTCCTCCTCCTCCTGAAGGAACTGACAAGCCTGTCACTGCGAAAATCGAAAAACTTGTGAAGGATATCACGTCATTGAACCTCATAGAGGTTGCTGAGCTAAGCGATGTTTTGAAAAAGAGGCTAAACCTTCCTGATGCTCCTCTTATGCCAATGGGAGGGATGGTGATGGCTAAACCACAGGTATTAATTAATGCCATCAAATTATTTCGAGAATATTCAAGAATTTCGACTATTGTCTTCAATTAATTCCCTCCCCCAATTACGGGGTTCTATAATTTTTCTAAATATCGATTAATCCGAGAATTTCATGACTAGGAAAAAAATATCAAAGAATAGTTTTTAGAAATTGAATACTTTAGAGAAATGCCCTTCGATATTTCGACGTTAAATCGATCGTTTTCGAAATAAATCAATATAGAATTGTTATTTAAACGGTTTGCTATTAAAAAAAAATAATTTTAATAATTTTTATTTTTCTCTTTTTGCTGCCAAAAGCCAGAGGTAAAACTCTTGATCATCAACCGATTCCATTGGTTCCCCAAGAGAATGACTATCGAATAATTTACATTTCATCTATTTCAGGAAGAAGAAGCAGCACCTCAACAGAAACAGTCCTCTTTCACAGTAAAACTCACGGGATTCGATGAAAAACAGAAAGTTCCATTAATCAA